GTTTCTTCTTTAGCGCTGCATCGAGCTCTGCCAAGTACAAGCTCTTCTCTCCAGCCAAACTCTCGATCTCTTGTTTCCCTTGTATCACGATGGATCCAGGTCTCAGCCTGACCTCGTTCTTTGAATCCCCTGTTCTCCTCTCCAACATGAAGGTTAGGTATTCTTCGAATCTCTCACTAGTACTTTCAATTTTAGTACCTTTAATCAGAGCTCTAAAATGATCTGCAGTTATCTCAAAAGAAAAACCCTTTCTCTCTTGCTCTCATTCACTGTGTTCAGCTGAGATGAGAGCATCTCTCTCTCTTTCTCCCTCTCTCTCTCTCTGTCAATATATAATATACATATACAAATATATATAAATGTTGATGTTGAATAGCTATTGTAATTTAATATTGTCCGATCTCTGTTTTTTCTTTGTTGTTTGCTTTCTCCCTCTTTCTTGATTCTAGGGTTTCAAATTTTTTCTGTTTGTTTTCTACAAAAATGGTACTGAGTAAATAAAATTGAAAATTTTGAAAATAGTAAAGATTTTTATTTTTAAGAAATTTTAAGCAAGAAAGAAAGAAAAAAAAATCTGTTGATATTTGAATTTTTTATGTTTTTGTCAATTCTGTTGGGAGGTTTTCCTAGTGAATGAATTCTGTTTTTTCAACTGAATTTGGAGCCAAAAATCTGTTGATATTTGATGATGTGGCATGTTTGGCACGTACTATTCAACCTGCCAAATTTGAGAACATATTTGGCATCTGCTATCTTTGGCAAGAAGAATAGTAGGCCATTGGAGACTCTGTTTTTGTTACTCTTGCCAAATTATAGCTTTGGCAAGTTCTTTGATAAAAAAAGTTTCAAGTCCTTCTAATATAGAAGGATCTAAAAATTAAAAAAAAAAAATTGAAAATATTAAAAAAAAAAGAAAAAAAAAAGTTCAACGGTAAAAAAGCCAAACCCTAACACAATGTTCTCAATAACGAAAACTAAATTTTTTGGATAAGTTACACATACCTCTCCTGAAATTTATGACAATTACAGATACCTTCCCTCAAGTTTATGAAATAACATTAACTTCCCTTCAAGTTCACTTTTGCATTTGACTTACCTCTCTTCTGTTAGTTGACTATTAGAAAACTAACAATTTTTGTTAAGAGTGATTCTACTTACACCACACTTTCAATTCCTTACACCCTTTTAGTTTATTTATTTTTATTACATTTTTATTTTTATCTAAAATTACCAAAAAAAACACCTTTCACTCAAACCTTTTCATTACAACCCCATGTCATCACTTTTACCTCCATTGGTCCACCTACCATCACCGAACCACCCCCACCCCCTCCTCTACCTAGCCCCTCTCTGGCAAACCATCACATCTGGTTGTTGTTGCTGTATCTCTGATGACTACTTTCTAGCCCAAATTCCTCTCCTATCGGCAAGCCTCTCCACCGGCACTTGTTTCAACCACCACTAATCGCTGCTAACCCCTCTCTGCCTCACTCTGCCATGCCCAACCCTTCTTCGACAACCCCAAACCCAAAACGTCGCCCCATCGCCGCCATCTTCGTCTGCTTTGCAGATCTGAATCTCTCTCTCTCTCTCTCTCTCTCTCTCTCTGTGTGTCTCTCTTCCGCTCTCTATTTCTCTTGCTCTATCTTAAGTATAGGGTTACAAAGTGGCAATGACGTCAGCCACAAGTGGGTCGCAAAGGTGGTCGTAGATAGGTCGTGAAGTAGAAGTAAAAGAAGAAAAGGAAGACGTTGCAATGGTGGTGGATTGTGGTGGTAGAAAGCGCAGATTTGAAAGATTGAAGAAAGGAGTGATGGCTGTAATAGCAAAGGGTTATTGCGGTAAATGGTGGCTGCATTTGTGATGACATAGAGGGAAGGGTGGCTACTGGATAAAGGGTTGCAACAGTGAGGATGTTGGTTAGAGGTGATGGTAGGGGAGAATTAGGGTTAGGGTTAGGTTTTTTTAGGTTTTGGGTATAAGGAGAAGGATATAGGTTAGAAATGAGGATTATAAAGGATTTATAGAAATTATAAAAAAAATTAAATTGTAAGGGTGTAAGGATTTAAATTGGTGGTGTAAGTAGAATTACTCTTTTGTTAAAGTCATCAAATTATTTTATCACATTTCCTATTTTACCCTTAGTTTATATATATAAAGATATAAATATCTCCAAAAGTAAATGATAAAAAACCTTCATCCCTACTAGCCACCATCCATCATGCTTTCCCACAACCCCATCCCACTCCACCCTACCCTGTTCACCATGATAAAAATATGAAAGGAAGAGAAAAAATGAGTCTATACAATGTGGGTGTTTGGGAAGTGGATTTTTTTGTAGATTTTTTTAGTTGTAGGATATTATTGGAGAATTTTTTTTTTGTGTTTGGGAAGATAGTTGGGTTTTTTTGTGGTTGGATTTGATGTTTGTGAGTGAAAAAGTGAAATGATTATGGGGTTTGGTGTGATATTTTGTTTGGATTCGTTTTTTTTTGGTTTTGTAAAACATTTGTCTTGTAGTGAAAAAAATAAAAAAAACCAAAAACCAAGTTGCTAAACACTGCCAATAGTTGCAAGAGTTTCTTTAATTGATTTTTGCCATGATTTGAGGGTGTTGTTGATTTTTGGTGATAGGTTTTTTAGGATTTTAGGTCGTGGGCTGTGAGGCTTGTGTTGGTGTTGGTGGTGGGATTAGGGGGTGAGGTTGTGTAGCAGTGTTGGGGCTTGGGTGGTTATGGTGCTGATGGGGCGTGGAGTTGGTTGGTGCTGTGGTTTGGGGCTAGCAGTAATGGTGTTTTTGAGGGTGCGGTGGTGCTGCTTTTGTAGCTGGGTGAAAGCAGAGTTAAAGTGAAGGAGATAAGCATAAGAGGATAGGATCAAATGTTACAAATGTTTACTACAAGATCTTGTTAATTTTTGGCTTTTTACACTAAAATTAAATAAATAGATGAGGGTAAAAATGTAAAAATACATTTCTATTAACAGAGTTTGTCAAATGTGACTGACTGGGTAGGTTATTGTCATTTTAGAAACCTGGAGGGAGGTCTTTGTAATTATGAAGGGAGGTTAGTGTAATTCACCCAATTTTTTTTTAGCATTTGCCAAAAATATTTACCCAGCTTGTTTGGTTTGGATTTTCAGTATTCACTTTTTAGAAAATTGAAATTTTTTATTTTTTGTATTTTTTTGTTTTCACTAATTTTTTTTTTAATATTCTAAGCAATTTTTTTAATTTTTAGATATACCTAACATAAATACACTTAAAAAATATAATATTTGTGAAAAAAACTTTAGAAAATTCACTAAATACCAAAAATATATATATAAAAAAAAATGATAATTCAATACATGTTTATATTCTTGTGTATTTATTGATTTTTTAAAATATTTTTTACAAATATTTTACTTTTTAGATATATCTACGTAAGGTGCATCTAAAAAAGTACAAAAATTGCTTAAAATTTTAAAAATATTCACTAAAAACAAAAAAATGAAAAATAAAAAAACTTAATTTAAAAAAAAAATTGAATTCAGAAAATTAAAACCAAATTGTATCATAAAAAAAAGTAAAAAAAAAGAAGCAAAAATACTAATAAATGACTTCTATATAGGACTTGAATTGGCTAGAAATTGGGATGGAAATAAAAGTTACCAGACAGATAGATCTTTGGACCAATGAGCTGAAGGTAGCTTCCAACATAGACCCTACACATGAATTACAAATTCAAGGAAAAAAAAACGAAGAAAAGAAAACGAATGATCATGACACAAAAAAGTAACAAAATTGCAAAAAAAAAAAAAAAAAGCAAAAAAAAAAAAAAAAAAAAAAAAAAAAAATCTTACCGATTACCACTAAAGCCTTCTTTACAATCTAATCATATTAAATGCAGTCGCAAATAAAAAAAAAAAAAATGCAATTGTCATGTAAAACCAACTCTTTATGCGATTCAAGAACTTGAAATAAGCATGTCTTGACGGATTGTTAAAAATCATAATGCCCAAAAACTGCCCAAATCCAAAGGTAAAACCAAGCCCCACACTAACATAAAATCCATGGTTAATAAACTTGTCCTCCTTGTTTTCTTCTTCAATGCTTTTGTCTTTGCCATGAGATTTCACAACTATTTCGTCTCCCCAACACTTACTTGGAAGTGGAAGCTCACATAGTTCAGAATTCCCAGAATATGCAGAGGCATCGAAACTTTGCAATTGAGTGCTTGTTGGGATTTTTCTCGACAACTTGTTATTTGACAAATTCAATACACTGAGAAATTTAAATCAGCAAGACTAGTAGGAATCATGCTTAGAAAACTCATTTGTAGACAAGTCAAGAGATTCTTGAAAGTAGAACAAGTTCCTCTAACAAAAGTCTCACATAAAAGCCATATTTTCATACAACAAGCGGGTCACGAGTAAATAATAATGCCCAATAATTTACAAAATTAACTATATATTTGTAATAAAACAAACATTTGATAGCAAAAAAAATTGCAATCCTTCCAAACACACAATCCACAATATAATTACGCATGAAAACAAATATTTATGAAGTTATTTTATCATTTCAAGAAATACATAGAGGGCCTAGTAACAGTTGGTGCTGATAGCTCTGAACTCGATGATTGTGTCTCTCCCAAATGTAGCCCAGCTTCCTAGGAAAACATAGCCAAAAAAAATGGAAAAAAGTGTTTGGTTTGAGTTTTTTGAATTAAGTTTTTTGAAAATTGAGTTTTTTGGTTTTCGTATTTTTTGTTTTTAGTGAATATTTTTAAAATTTTAAACATTTTTTTTCTTTTTTAGATGTACCTTACTTAGAAATATCTAAAAAGTAAAAAATTTGTGAAAAAATAATTTAAAAAATTAATAAATATATAAAAATACAAAAAATGTACTAAATTCTCGTATTTGTTTTGTATTTTTGGTTTTTAGTGAATTTTTAAAAGGTTTTTCACAAATTTTTTTACTTTTTAGGTATATTTATGTTAGGTATGTCTAAAAAGTAAAAAAAATTGCTTAAAAGATTAAAAAAATTCAGTAAAAATAAAAAAACACGGAAAACAAGAAAGTAGAATTTTCTGAAAAGTATTTTTAAAAAATTGTTTATAAACAGAGGATCAATTCAGTACATCGCATAAATATGGCACAACGTTATGCTGTGTTTGTTTGGGAGATTTGAGGAGGGATTTAGAAAGAGAAATGGAAATGGTAGGTAAAATGTGAATAAAATATACCTATATTTCACCTAGTTTCACACACCTTTTTTCTTTTTCTTTCCAAATCTTTCCTCAAATCCCCCAACCAAACCCAGCGTTAGTGTTTTTGTTTATGTTTGCAATGGCAGCACACATCATCATCACTGCTATTACAAGATTAGTTTTGCAAAATTATAGTACAAGTGAATGACTTCTGTAAGAAAAGGGAAAAAAGAAATGTATGGAGGAATAGAAGTTGGATACAATTAAACAGAAACGGATCAGAAGGTAAAGCTAATTTTTGGATCGTTTTATCTATCAATAACAACTAAACAGATAGTGGATGTCAAGCAATTGCTTGGTTAAAAATTAGGGTGGCAATAGAAATTACCATATAGATAGATCTTGGCAGCAATGAGCTGAAGATAGCTTGCAAACTAGACCTGCACATGTGTAGGACAATTAGAAAATAGACATAAGTAAAACCGCAAACTCAAGCAAATAGCAAGTGTACTGTGCTTAAATCACCTTATGTAGGATTTCAAATAAAATAAAAAATGTCTAACTTGTTAGCAATGATCAAGACAAAAAAAGATAAGAGAAGTAACAAAATTAAAAAAAGATACTTACTGTTTACCTCTGAAGCCTCCTTCCCAATCTAGTCATACTCAGTGCAGTTCTCACATAAACCCAATTTTTTATGCAGTCCAAGAACTTGAAATAAGCGTGTCTAGATGGTTTGTTAAAAATCATAGTGCCAAAAATTGTCCAAAATCCAAAGGTGAAACCCAGCCCCACGCTAACATAAAATCCAGTTGTAATAAACTTGTCATCGTCTTCTTGAATCCTTTTGTCTTTGCCATGAACAAGAACTGGAGGTTCCACAACTATTTTTTCTCCTGGACACTTTTTTGGAAGTGGAAGGCCACAAAGTTCACAGTTTCCTAAATATGCAGAGGGATCAAAGCTTTGCAATTGAGTGCTTATCGGGATTTTTCTTGACAACCTATTATTTGACAAATTCAATACACCGAGAAAATTTAGATCACTGAGGCCTGTAGGAATCGCGCCAGAAAGCTCATTTGCAGACAAGTCAAGAGATTCCAACATTTTCATTTGACCTACTTCTTGGATGATATTTATTGTCAAATTGTTTCTTGATAGGTTCAACGAAACCAACCCTACAAGACTCCCAACTTGTTTAGGAATTTTCCCAACTAAGTTATTTCCAGAAAGATCAATGCTTTTTACTAGTCTGAAAATATTTATGTATTCTGACTCTTGTCCTTTCCACGACAACAATGCATCCTCAATATAGCTGTTAATTGCAGTATCAGGGCCATAAAATGTCGAATAATCAAAAGAAATGGTTGCACTAGAACTCTTACTTTCCACCATGGCAGTAAAATTGTGAAAACAGTGTGGTATGTTTCCCGATAAGCGATTATGGGAGAAGTCCAAAATTTGAATTTGGTTAAGGTGACATATATGTCTAGGTATGCTTCCCTTGAACTCATTGAATCGTAGACTAAGAACAATTAAACTTGTTAGGTGTGCCCCTATCCATGCTGGTATTTTTCCTGTGAGTTTGTTTCCTCCCAGATCAATCATTATTAAATTTGTGCATCTCTTTAATGAAGAAGGAATTTTCCCAGAGAAATTGTTGTTGCACAAGTGCAAAGTTTGAATCTGGTCCAGGGAACCCATTGAACTCGGAATTTTCCCGTACAAATTATTGTATGCCAAATTAATGATGGATAGTGCTTTGAGGTGCACCCAACAACTTGAAAGCTCTCCTGATAGTGAGTTATTTGAGAGCTCAAGATAGGTGAACTTTTACCCCTAATTGCACATAAGAAAGAAAGTAAACCTGAGAACTTATTTTTGGAGAGATTCAAAAGTGTTACATTAGGAGGAGCTAGTGGTATTGGACCCGAAAAATGATTCGAACTTAAATCTATAACAAGATAACCCTGATACTTCAATGATAGATCAGGCAACAAACCTTTGATCAGATTGTTAGAGAGATTTAAAAATCTTAAACCTGGGGATAGGACCCAAAACCAACTAGGAACATTATCTGAAATTCCATTACTTGAGATATCATGCTCAAAGAAGTTATTTTGCATTTGAAGCCATTTTGGAAAATGAGGCCCCAACTTACAAGATGATAAATATATGACATCAAGTTGGAAATGAGGAAACCAGTCAGAACTGAAATTAAAAGTTAATAATGTTTTTGAAGAAAATAACAAAAACTTCAAACTGGACATATTAGAAAAGTGAGCTTCAGAGAGTATGACTTTTAATGAATTGAAAGAGACATCAAAATACTCAAGCTTGGAAAGTTGTCCAATATTTCTGTGTATAGTACCATTCAATTGATTGTCTCCAAGTTGTAAATGCGTCAATGATGGAAACATTGAAAGGTCAGGCAGTGACCCTGTAATTTGGTTTCCATTCAACTGAAGAACAACAAGACTAGGAAGTTGTCTAAAAGTTTCTGGAATGGATCCACTCAATTGATTAAGGCTAGCAGACAATTCTATTAAGGAAGAAAATCTTGTAAAATCAGGCAATGGACCACTAAGGCGATTGTCATCCACATACAAAACCTATAATGAGTCCTCTGCCCCATTTTGGAAGGCCACCTTCAACATGATTGTAAGCCAGACTGAGATTTGTGAGGGAAATCATGCCTCCAAAAGAATCAGGAATCGGACCTTTTAACTGGTTATCAAAAGGTCTATATCAATAAGGCTACTATTAAAGTTGAACAACCAACTATATATTGAAGAAGATAGATCATTTCAAGAAAGATCAAGTATAGAAAGAGACGCAGAAGAATTAAAAGGAAGTGAGGGATGAGTAGTGATCGCAGGAAGTGTACAATAAGATAACCTTAACTCTTTTAGGAGAGGGAGATTATTGATAGATTGAACCCAGTCGATTGCTTTACTGAGGTCAACACCACTAAGGTCCAAGTGACTTAATAAAGAAAGATGAGAAAGCCACTCAAGATTTTCACACTCCAGACCTTTATTGTAGCCAAGATCAAGATTCTGCAAGTTAGAAAGGTTCCTCAACTTTGTGATGTCGTCATGAAAATTATTTTTTGAGAGGTCCAAAGACTTCAAATGTTGCAATTCAAGCAATGAATGACTAATCTTACCTCTCAGTGCCTGATAAGGAGCATCAAGAGAATAATTGTACAATACATGAAGATCGAGCATGGTGACATGACCAGTGTGGTTGTTGCACCCAACTCCTCTCCAGTTGCAACAATCTTTTTTATCTTCTTCACTCCCCCAAGAAGAGAGAATACCATAATCATCAATAAGAGCATCTTTAAACTTTTATGTGGTCCCATTGAGACATTATCTAACACTTCACTCCCCCAAGAAGAGAGAATACCATAATCATCAATAAGAGCATCTTTAAACTTGAGGAGAACTTGTCTCTCCCTCTTTATGCAATTGGTTTAAGCATCTTCTTCAACTCTTGAGGAGAGTCCAAGAGCAGGTTTCATGAATAGTAAAAGCACAACGATGACAAACACACGGAGAAATTGATGAAATTTTTCAACCATCATCATTTTCATGAACATGATCATGATGATGCAGCAAGAATTATTATCAAGATGAAGTAGCAAATACACCAACAAATAAGGATTTGCAATTTTTGGTTTTCTGAGTTTTGTTAGCCATGGAATGATCAACTTTTATATTGTAGTTGCACCACAAGTTTTCCACAATGTTCGTAGAAAAAGACTTGGGGGCAAGATGCCAATAATGGTCTACTTTGTTTTGTAGAAAAAGACTTGGGAGTCAACGGAGCTTGTCATTTATTTTTACTTTGAAATCCTTTGGTCTACTTTGTTTAGTAGAATTTTGGTGATTTTGTCAAAAAATAGAAGTGTAAGAAAGAAAATTAGAAATATCTTTCAAAATAATTGTAATTTTCATAGAGGTGCAAATGAATTAGTGTAAGTAAAAATTATGACATGACATACAATTCACATGCATCCACTTGAAAATAATAATAATAATAAGACAATAATTTTCTTTAACTAAAAAGTGGCAAATTAAAGGATAAGGTACGACTATCTTAGTGACTTGAATTTTTAGCAATTAAATTTAGACTATTTTTAAATAATCAAAAAAAGTAAAAAAAGATTAATGAACAACTTTGAAATAAATAAGAATGGTTTGTAAGAGCGTTTTCAAAGACATTTCTTTTGCCATTTTAACGATGTTCTTGGACCATGTGAACAATTCATTTGCATACTACCAAACATTCCCCCACTATATATGTGAGTAGAAGATATGCATGTCATTTGGTGTGAATTTCATCACAACTGCATATATTTTTCAACATGGCCCTAACAATTGATGACTTCAAAATTGTCTTACGAAAAATTAAATAGGATTTATGTGTAGACCCTAATAGGTGAACTTATTATTTAATAGGTCTTGTGATAATTAATTTCATTAAACATTATTAAAAAAACATTAATTATTAATTTTCAGCGATAGTTTAAAAATTTTGCTACAAAGAGTCACTAATTATAAGTTTTATCGACAATTTAAAAAAATATCACAAAAAAAAAAATGATTAATTTTTAATTTTTAGCAACAATTTGAAAAAGAGGGTTGCTAAATGTCTCCGCCTTTCTACTTTGGACCCCCCCACTTCTTTGGCCCCTACCACTAAAATTGCTTCCCTCTTTATTTTTCTTTGGAGCATTGCTATTAACTCCTACCTTTCTTCTTAGAACCCCTACCTCATTCATTTTTTTTTAATTTCAATTTTGTCCCAATCAAAAATTTCACTTTTACACTCATTCCTAATCTTCTAAACCTAATATTTTGAACTCTAACTTAACTCTAATCACCTCCGGTAATACCACTATCTTCGACCACCTCTCACTGCCACAACCACCACCATTTCTAACCACTCCTTATCACTGCAACCTCTACCATCTCTGACCACTACTCATCATCACAAGCACCACTCCTTCTGTCCCAATTAGCCATCACCTCCACCGACAAGCACCCCCATTCCCTATTGCAGATCTGAATCAGCGAAGAGAGATCAACCCATTCAGCACTGTGTTATCGAACTAAAAGGATTTGTTCAGCACTGCATTTTTAAACATTCAGGATTCATTTAACACTGTGTTGCCAAACATTTAGGATTTGTTCAGCACTGTATTGCCAAACCCACTCCACCATTATGACCTCCCTATCCATTGCGAGAGAGAACAAGCGAGAGCAAGAGAGAGAGAGAGAGAGAGAGAGAGAGAGAGAGAGAGAGTGAAAACCTAAGGTTTTCAAAAGAAGATGAAGAAGAAAAAGAGAAGAGGGAGAAGGAATGCTAAGAAATCACTAAATCACTCGCCATAGCCTATGATAGAGGTTTTAATGGTGGCCATTGTTGATGGGTCTTTTTTCTTGCTCTGTTTCTCACTCATACTTGATTTGAATGCAAGAAAACAAAGAAAACAAAGAGAGAATCCATATTAGAGAGAGAAGTAGAAGGGGTTAGGGTTTGTGTTTGGTTTGGGATTAAGGGTATAGTTGGTATTAAGGTGGGGGTTTAAAGAAAAAATGTAGGGGTTTTGTTTTGCTGTGTGGGGGTTTAAAGAAGTGGGTGGGCCAAAGTAATTAGGTGGGGTTAAATATCATCCCTCTTTCTTTGGACCCTTATCATAATCTCAAATATGCCCTTTGAACCCCACCTCTACACCTTCCACCTTCAACTCCTCCTTTCTTCTTCTGGCAGTCCCCCTCCTATTCTAGTCACCCTCTCTCATTGCTAACTTGCCCAAACGGTGGCAGCAACAATAACAACTGAATAACCATCTGTTTTCTCGGAATATAAGATATATGCGAACTATGTTTCAAGAAATGTAACAACCTTGGAAGTGTAATGGGTCCAAGTTCGAAGGGTGATTCCTCCATTGTAGAGAATCACATTGATGTTGCTGAAGATGAATATGATGGATAACCAGTTCGAAAAACCCATCTTTTAGCCTTTGTTCATCGTCGTTCAGAAAACCAGTTCTAAACAAAAGGTTGATGTTCAGTACTATGTAGCCGAACAAAAGGCATATGTTCAGTTGTGGAGCACCGAACATATTCAACAAGTTTAGCTCTGTGTAACCAAACAAAGAGAAATTGACCAACCTGTGAGGTAGAGAGAGAAATCGATGGGGAGAGAGGGAGTCGAGCACAAAAGAGAGTAGGTTTCGAAGGATGAAGATGAAGATCACGAAAGAGAGTTTGCGAATCTGTCACTCCTTCCCCGTGGCTGCTGCCAAAATCCTAACACCGCCATTGATAGTTTTGCAAACAACAGGTGGTGGAGAGAGGCTCGCCAAAGGAGGAAATAATGGAGGTGGGTTGGTTACTGGAGGCCGCCGGCGGGAGTGGAAGTGGTGATGGAATTAGGGTTAGGGTTAGACTTGGGAGGATAGGACGAGGAAAAAATTGAAATTTGATGTTAGAACAAAATTGTAATAAAATAAAATATAAAAAATGAGGAGTCCAAAATAAAAAGATAAGGGCATTTAGCAATGAGGGCTATTATTAGCATCTACCTAATTTCTTTAGACCCCCTATTTCTTTGAACCCCTACCCTAAATCCTAAATTTTAACAAGATTTTTTTGAATACTCCACTTAATACTAATTTTATCCATATTCATAATATCATCATACCCAAGTGCACACCTATATAATTTTCACACCCTCTCTTCTTCTTCTCTTAGTAAACAATGAACGATTGAGAAAAACAAACGATTGAGAGACGAATCAACTGTCCCTCTCTTTTCCTTCTCTCATAAACGATGGTCTCTCTCTCTCTCTCCTTATCACCATAAATGACGGTATCTCAGTCGAAAATGTCATTAGAAATCTCTTCAACGGTCTTTTTTTCTTCTCTCAAGTAACCTCCAACTCCCCATCATATATTATTTTTTTTGGGTGTGTTTATTTTGGGATAAAACCCTTGATACAAGGGGGTTTAGAGAGAAAAATCATTAGAAAAAATAGAAATAAGAGAAACATCCTACAAAATGAAACCGTTCGGCATACTAGTGCCGACAGTACCAAACAAAATATTATGTTTAGCGCTATATTACTGACCCAAATGTTTTTGTTCAGCATTGTATTACTAAACAGAACCTTAACAGTCGACAAACTAGTACCGAATCGAAATGATCTAGAATCGTAAATGCAAGATGGATAAACTTACCAATGCAATGCCAACCTCATTAGAGTTGTTGTCATCGTCCTCCATTGCTCTATAAGTATCAACAAATGGTGAAAATGACTTAATAAGATTGTTTGCAACGTTGACTGATTTGGAATATTGAACATATTTGAAAATACCAAACAAAACGTTAATTGATTAGATGGTTTCAAATATTTTCATTGAAGATGAATACACGAGTTTAGGATGGTAATGAAGAAGAATATGGTTAGGGTTTCGTTTGGTAAAGACTACGTATAGATGGGGATGGAGGTGAGTGTACAATATTGTAGAGTGTCATTCTAATTATTTTCATTTGGTAGGTGGGTGTTCCATCAAAAGTTGTGCTTTAGTGTAATTTTACCTTAGGCTATAATTGTAATAAAAAAAAGGTGAAAATTGGGGGCCCAAAGAAATTAGATAAGTGCTAATAGCAGCACTCTTTGAAAAATTCGTCATAGAAAAAAGTCACTAATTGTAAGTTTTAGTGACAATTTATAAAAATAGTGATTAAAAAAGTCACTAATTGTCAATTTTTAGCGACATGTGCGAAACATCGTTTCAAAAAAACGTTTTTAGCGAAAATTTTACTAGGATTTACTTTCAGTAGGACATAATGGAAATTAAGGCCAACTATTAGGTTCTATTAATAGTTTATCCAAAATTGAATTGATTCAGATATTTAAATCCCCAAAAACATAAAACAATTCTTATTTATCTTTTTTATTCATAAATTATAATTTTTTTTTTTTTTTTTGTGTGTAGGAGCATCACGTGTGCACCAGTAGCTAATATGGACATTGTGTTTGTTCAATTTGTGTGGTAGGATTAAACAAAAAAAAAAAAAAAATTAATCCCCCAAAAATTAAATTTTGATGAGAGGCCAGGACAATGAATCCTGAGGAAGGCGGTATATCAGAATTCTCGAATATGTTATCCTAACCCCTACGCTCTTGCAAGAAGATTTAGAATAGCGGCCACAAAAAAGCCTGAAAACGCCGCTAAAAGTAAAGATGGCATTTTTAATATTCGTCCCATACGGCCAACTGACCAATATCGGTTTGATTAATGATGTTGCTCACAA